AACTGCGGTGTCGCTTAGACATTAACCACAGTGTCGCGTAGACAGTAACTGCGGTGTCTCGTAGACATTAACTGCCGTGTCGCGTAGACATTAACTGCGGTGTTGCATAGACAGTAACTGCGGTGTCGCGTAGACATTAACCGCAGTGTCGCGTAGACAGTAACTGCGGTGTCGCGTAGACATTAACTGCGGTGTCGCGTAGACATTAACTGCGGTGGCGCGTAGACATTAACTGCGGTGTCGCATAGACAGTAACTGCGGTGTCGCATAGACATTAACTGCGGTGTCGCGTTGACAGTAACTGCTATCGAAAATGGCAAATTCAAACATTTTGGGAGATCTTCAGGTTGCGGGAACATGGACGCTTCCGGAGGTTAAGCAATTCCTCATATTGGGGGTCTAATAGGTATCGTACAGGCTAAGCAGTTTATTCCAGTAAACAGTCTACGAAAAATGAAAATAAACTTTATACAATTTTTTTTCCAAGACCCAACTACCCATCTACTTTGTACAAATTGCAAATAAATTTTTATTAAATTTTTATTTTTTACTTTTACAAAGTATGTTGTTATATAGTGAGGGTAATGGGATCTTGAAAGAAATCAAAATAATCAAAGATTTAATTCAATTTTTACCCACCAAATGTTTTATTAATGGTTGTTAGAATCTATTTATTTATCTAGATTTTTTATGAAATATATGAACGGAAAAAGTGATTATAAATCATGAAATCATTATAAATCAATGCAAGCTATACAATTGATAAAATGTTTGTAAATGAAAAGATTATTAAAATATATTCATTTTGTCCATTCTCACAATGATACACAAGATAAATGCATTTTAAGAGGAGTATTGTGAGAAAAAAAGTCAACCCCCCCCCCTCCCTGACCCCCTAAAATATCCCACCGTGGAGGGGGGGGGGGGAGAACAAAAGGAAGCATATTTAAAATCTCGAAATATTCATGTTGGAAGGAATTATGATTTCCACCTTGATTAAAAAGATAGTTTTGTATATTTCAGTAGAACCAATTTTTTGATGTTTTTATCAGATTTCTGGTTTTCGTCTAATCATGATCAATAGTAGATTAAAGGTGTTGGATTATCTCAATCAAAGATGTATTCATGGATTCCATAGATTATAGAATTATTCAGAGTTTTACCTTCATGATTCATGGATTCCATAGATTATAGAATTATTAGAGTTATCCCTTCATGTTTACGGATTCCATAGATTATAGAATTATTAGAGTTTTCCCTTCATGATCCTTGGATTCAATAGATTATAAAAATTTTAGAGCTTTCCCTTTATGATTCATAGATTACATGGATTATAAAATTATTAGAGTTTTCCCTTCATTATTACGGATTCCATAGATTACAGAATTATTCAGAGTTTTACCTTTCTGATCTATAGATTACATATGTTATAAAAATATTAGAGTTTTTACTTTTTAATTCATAGATTCTTTAGATTATGAAATATTCAGAGTTTTTAATTTTCCCTTTATGATTCATGGATTCCATAGACTATAAAAATACAGTATGCGAATAGTATTAGTAATGATGGAAAAAACTTAAATTGTCATAATGTGTCTTATACTCTCCAAAGGAGTCCACTAGGAACTTGTTCAAGGTTTCTAAGCTGAAAAAGTGGCAAAAGGAACAAAAATTTGACAGACTTTTGCGCAAAAGCAGCGCCTGACCTTCTGCAATAAGGTTTAAACCCTGCTGAAATCCTGTTGACCAAAGGAAAGAATTAATTTGGCTGAAAAAATCAAATGTTGAAAAGTCCAAATATTCTCGACACTTCCGGTTTATTCATCCATGTAGATAAACTTATATAGGTGCATGGTGAACCAAAAGAGAAAAAAACCCAGTCTCGCTTATATGGCCCTAGCCACAGTGGGAGTGGGTGCAAGAAACCTACTCTATATTTCTGTTGAAAAGAGAAAACCTCTAATAGCCAGGTGTTCCAGAAAATTTTGAATTGAAAATTTGCTCCTGGAGCTAACACTGCTTATGGGGAACACAGTTATAACTTGGTTTAAGATAAAACTCTTCCTCGCACAAATATATCAACTGCAGTTTCTCTGATATTAAATACTCTCGGGAATAGAACCCCCTGTTACCCAGACGCAAGTGTCTTAGTTTCAAATTATTTAACGCGAATGTAAGATGAGGTCTATAGGAAGGTCTACAGAACGATCATGTAGCTGAAGATCATTTTACTGTCTTCTGGGACGGTTTGAATTAGGACTGGCTGTGTACTTTTTTTAATCCCTGTACTGCGTAATTTTCTAATCCCTATATCTTTGGGACCCAGTGTCGTAGACCTTGGATATTTTAAACTATGAATACTGTTAAATTAAATAATCTAAGTTTGAAATAAAAAATGTTTTCATCATCATGTTGCACAGATATAATGATAAGAAAAGTTGAGTTTGTTGCAAAAGCTCAATTCCTTTAATGAAATATACTCAATCTACTCCCGAACATTGAATATACCTAAAATTATTTTAACAAGATGTCCAAAATTGAATTTAATTAAAAAAAATGTTATAATTATTTTAAGAGTTTCCTTCTTTATTACGCACCCTGTACCTGCACTATGAAAGAAAAGCTCCTAATAACGAGTTTATTTAGTGTAAACCTTTAATGGAAATTTTTTGAATTATGTTTTAGAAATTTTCTTAATTCTGAGACTGGGTAAATGTTCCGATGGAAAATCCAATTTTTATTACATAAGCCGTATGAAGCTGCATGGTCCATATGAAGAACAAAATTAAGTCTAAATATATGAAATAAAGATAAGTAGTTCAACTAACTATAGCGAGTTTATCTACAGGGTTAACCAACATTTGAATATGAAACACAGCAATTATGTGCTGTACAGTTGACAGCTGTACATTAAAAATGTTGTTTACCAAATATGTTATTTTTCAAGCAACTGGTCAAAATATAACAACATAGAATAAAAAGGTCGTCCTCACTCTTTCATTTATAGAAAAATTTGAATAAAACAAAAATTCTGATTCATTTTTGTAAAATTACGATCTGTATGTATGTATTATGTATGTTCACGCATATCAGAAAGATAAGAAAAGATTAGAAGGTTAGTCACTCATTCTTTATCTTTGCTCTATGCTATCTTACAACTAGATAGCTTACTGTTTATACCTTCATATCAAGTTATATATTCACACGTTATTTTAAACAAAGCATTATTTCTAACAAACTATTTTCCATAGTAATGGATATTCAGATATTTTCAAGTGAACCCAGTGCTGCACGAGTGAAGTACATATTTACAGAGAGATTCTATAATATAACGTTATAGCATTACTCATTCCGAAAATCAATTCTTTAATTTGAAAGTCAATTAAGCAATCCCTTTATTAAGAGAAGGGTTCCCAAGTAGTATTAGCGTTATTAAAGCATTGATTATTTGTCGTCTAGATTTTTTAAAGAATACACTTGTAAATTCAATATTTTAGATTTAAAATAATTAAAATTAATTTATAAATAGGATTCGATGATAAAATGAAAATCTTAAGTATATATTATAAATTTTAAAGTATTAATGAGCTAGGTGTAAAAACGAACTTTAAAAAAAGACTCATCAAAATATATTTAAATATTTTATTTCTTAACGTTTATATTTTATCTTTTAAATGAGAATTATAAATTTAATATTTAATATTCAAAAGAATTAGAGGCATAAAGATGAAAATAAACAAAATTCATCTGAAATTTACGTCAATGTTACCATATCACATTTCAAATGTACAAATGAAGACTAAGAAATGAATAGTTTTTGAAAAATAGTGTTGATTTTACATTTCCATTTTTTGGTATTTTAAGAAAAAAACCACAGAAATTATGGGATAAATTTTACGTTAAAATATTTAAGTAAGCCTAATCAAAACGAGAAAGAAATTGAGATTTTACCAGAGCCGGCTTGCGGGGGGGGGAAGGGGTACGTCCCCCCCTGGAAAACTGGGGGGATGTCCCCCCTCCTGTGGAAAAATTGAGTGCACAAAAAAGAGAGACCAGGCAACAGATCTATAATTTTGATTTTTAAGAATAGATTAAATTTTTGTTTGTAAAAATTTGAAATCTTGCTTTCACATTTTCCTCCTTCCTTCCCCCCCCCCCCCTCCAGTTGTTCACAGTTTTAAAACGGGAAATTTATAGAGTAATAACGTTAAAAGGAATAGCTTTTGCGTAATAATTATTCACTTCTTGATTGACGTTCCTATTTTCAACGAAAAAATAAAACTTATTGTTTCAAAACAATTGGAGTGATGAAAATAAACTTCGTAGGAAAATGTTTGCATCTATATTTATAGTAAACAATTAATTCAGAGCGGGAAAAAAGTCTTTATTATAAGTTTCAACTTTTGATTATTTAGTTTTGGTCAGATAGTAAACCCCGACTTTTGTTAAAAAGAAAATTGTGAATGATATTATAGATTAATAACAACTGCTATAAAAATAAACATAAACATTGATTCATCAAAAAGCAATTTATGTCCACAAAAACATTAATTATAAAATAAATCAGTTACGTCAATATCTGATAGAATTTTATATTTAATATGTTTTATGTTAGATTCAAAATAATTAGAGATATTAAAATGTATTAATAAATATTTTTTTTAATGTAAATATTTATTAAACTTTTCTGAACTAGTTCAAAATAAACACGCAGACACCCTTCCTTACAATCTATATACATGGACTGTAAGCGCAATTTCAAGTGTGACCATCTATGCGATGCCCGATTAACAATGGTACCCTTGAAACCTTTATTTGAACAATAATTGGGAGATCAAGCATTAAAGATCTCGATCTTTTGTTAAGCTAAAGATTAAGTTAATCTTTATTCCACATCACAAAAAGAGTGTCAATCAGAAGCCAGGAACCAGCAAAATTGTCAGTTATCCATTCAAGATTTTGCGTAAAATTCAAAAGAACCACATTGGACATTAAAATCAAAAGTTCACAACTCTCTTTCAGACAGCTTCAACCTTCCAAAATGGCGGTTAACGATCTATGTTCAGTTTCCGGCATTTTAAAACTTCTGCAGAGTGTTCTTATCTTCATAACTTTGCTTGTTCATAGGTAAAAAGAGACATCTGCAATTATATTAATAAACCCTTTGAAATAGTTATTTTGCAAAATTTTTATATATTTAAAATATGAATATAGTGGTATTCAATTAACATTTTATTGTTGTTAATTCGTATTCTCTTTCACAATCTTTCCACTGTGTTCCGGATACACCCAAATAGATTTTCAAGTACAATGGCAACAGAGAAATGGACCAATTATACACGACGTTACAAGTGTCAAATATAACAATGGAAACGAAATATTCTCACATTAATTGACATGTTTTCCAAGATTAAATAAAAAAGTGTATTTATTTTATTAGTAAGATATGCACTTTGTTCTAAAATTATCACCATTATTGACAATTTTGTCGGACACAAAAACTGAATTGACACTTGTGACGTAAGAATACAGCTGCAGTACTGAGAATGTACAATTTTTGCGTTGTCATATATTGTACTAGAATATATTTGTGTACAACTATATAAATGCAGCATTAGAGATAGTATTACGAATTTTACCGTATGAATTAAATAGGGTTTATAGGGAGTGACCAGCAATGTATGGTGGTTAAATTAAGTATGCAATACTGTAGAATTTTTTTAGGATTCATTTGAGACATATACAACGTTTCCAACGTGTTTAATTCCTGAGTTTGAGCGCAAAATCATCCATTTGAGTGGTTACGTTTTGAGAATCGATTTTAAAAAAAATCATTAATACTAATCTAAAAAACTACCGATTCTGAAAACGTACCCACCCAAATTCATCATTTTGAACATCGATTTTGCTCTCAAACTCAATAAATATACATCGTTTTATATATTTCAAATGAATCCTAAAATTGTCCATAATACTACATATTCAGTTCAACCACCATACATTGCTGGTTACTCCCTTTAAAGATAAATAAAGACAGTTGTCCTAAAGAAATTAAGTCTTTTTACAATCCCAATATTTTCGCAACCTGATATTGTACACCTTTGTAATTTTCAAGTTTAGATTATTTGATATCGCATAATTTATGATTTAAAATATCTTATTAATCGCATATATGGTTGCAAAGATATATGGATTAAAGTTTTTTCTAAAGACTTAATTCCTTATATCATTTTGTTGAAATTAAAAATATCATATACATTCAATATTAAATATTTTAATATTGAATATGTAAACTTAAAAAATTGACCATTCATATCAAAATCTAGCTTTCGAATCCTTAATCTTTGCAACTGATGTTTGATATTTGAAACAATTGATAAAATAGTAAACAATTTAATTTTCTTAGTTTGTAAAAATATAAATAATAAATCATAAATCATAGATTTTAAGGCAAATCTTAGTAATTTCCTAGAGAACGATTTTTGGATGGATATAATTGATCATGTGGGCGCAGCGCCTGGCCCCCTAACCTGTACTAGCCGCAGCGCTCGGCCCCAATAGCATGTCCTAGTCGCAGCGCTCGGCTCATAAATTGTCTTAACCGAAAATGAAAAATAAGTGGTCATGTACAAAATTGATAGGAGGGGGGGGGGATGGCCCGGGCCGGGGGGGAGGGGGCCCAAGGGGGGGTTCAAAAATCGTTCTCTAGGACGGACCCCAAGTTTTAATCTTTTTTTATCATTGTTTTAGACACGGAGATAATGGGTACTATTTATTTTTTGCTACAACAGGATTAAAACTCGGAAACAAAGATCCCAATATAGGTGAGTTAAAGAAACACTTCCTGAAACACCTAATGGAACTCCAGACATAATTTCATGTAACAATTGGGATATCTGAATCAATGCAAAGCAAGATGTGCACACTGTCATGCAAAAGTTTAGCAGTTTTTTGAAAATTATTTCTTTTTGACTTAAGCTTGAAACAAGTTTATTGTATTTTGTAATGTATATGCCCAGGGCAACAACAAATTATAAATGAGTTTGTGAGTTAAAACCAAAGGCCAAAAGGCATTGAGATACTTTGAGGTCGCCTGTCTAAAAATTTGGTGAGAAAATAATTTCAGAATTGTCTCTATTAATAACGGTAAACTTTAGATCTTTACCTGAGCAAGTGTTTAATTCTGTTAAGTCATTACACATTCTATTGTAAATTTTCGTAGGACACACTGTAGAAACCACAATTTTAAACTACTATTTTAGAGGAAAAACTGAATTTTTGATTAGTTTTACTCAAACAAGATTACCTAATATACCATTACAAACAGGGCATAGAATTTCATTTGAAATTAAGACGATATTTCCTTTAAAGACTGTTGATTGTACTAAATGTCACAAAACAGATTATATGAAAACACCCATGCACAGTGTTGATATTTAATGTATAAAATTGATTAATTGATCAACATTAATGACAAGTTATTGTGCTATTCTCAACTCAACAATAATGATAATAAACCTTGTTCTTATCTTGAATGAGTTCTACTTCTTTATTGATTAGTTGATTATTTGATTGATTGATTGCAGACTAAAAGAACCTGGATAACTTGACTCATGTCAGTTTTATTACCAATAATCAAATAATTATACTATTGATTGATTGCGGACTATAAGAACCTGGGTAATTTGGTCTGTTAGTTTTATGATGAATAATGGATTTATGATTATGAAAACCTAGCTAAATTATTCAATTGATTGATTGAATAAGGATTTTCAGGTTATGCAAACCTTTAAAACTGGAATCATAAATTTTATGATAATCAGACTTGTTCTTATTCTGGGATGTGTTTTAGAATGATTAATTGATTTCTTGATTAATTAGTAAATTGATTAATTAATTTCAGATTATGAGAACCTTGGGAACTCAACTTTAGTGAGTTTTATGATAATCAACTTGGTTCTTATCCTTGGATATGTCCTAGACGGACCTGAGGCTATTCATGCATCTTTGTTAGAGGTAAGTTGACTCATAGTCTTTTATTAAGAGAAGATGGATTCTGGGCTTCTATATGCATGTTTATATTAAAATATTTTTGGACATTTTTACATTTTCAAATGTCTTACTCTAAGTAAAAAATAGAAATAATACCCTTCAAGGGGGCTTTCTGCTTTTTTCTAGAACAAATTTAAGCAGTTAACTTTTGTGCGCTCTTCAAGCTGCCTTTTTTCTTAGTAGATCTTATGTCCCGGATTTTTATGTTTAAATTTATCCATTTTCAAAAATTATTAAGTGTATTTTTTAGTTTATAGCAATAACTACTTCCATTGATTTTCTCTAAATTGGAATGAGACTGTGTTACCTGCAAAGGATGAGACTTATAATACAAATATATGGAATTTGTTCATTCTTATTTATAGCTCCCTGAAGCTAAATTATGTGTATCTTTATACAATCATTAATAAAACCAATTAGAGACCACATTTTGAGGCAGTATAATAAATTATACCTTATAATGGTCATCTTAACAGAGTGTCTGGTCTCATTCTTTGTGGGTTACCTTGCATAAGCTTGAATTAAAATATAATTTTCCTTGAATTTAGCCAGTTTGGAATCTTCTTGGAGCATGCATGTTTGTAGCTTCTGGGGCTGTAACTATCATCACTTGGCAGAATGAAAAGGAAACCAAACCTTTTTATTTTTAAGATAAACTTAAAGACAAATTTGCAAAATCACGAAATCTCTCATTGCAGTCTGAGAAGGATTTCTAAACATGTGTGTGGATTAAAAAGACGACATTTAAGCAATACTGAAGTGTATTGATGTGGTTACAAAGCAAATAGTTTACTAGTAACTTTTAAATCACTTTTTAAATTAAATGAGTCTGTTTACACTGAACAATTGATGTGTCTTTTGGACTATGTAAAGTCATAACTTTAGTATTTTTATTAATTAAAAATAAGTCCCCCTAAAAAAGCTAAAGATTACAATGAAGACCAAAGAATTGGTTTTGAATAGATTAGTGAACAGCATACAGAAAATTTATATAATATTAACACGTCATCTTGCTGATAATATTTTCTCTTCCTTTTCCACATTTGTCTGGCAAAAACTGTAGGAAGACACTTTAAATTCCATGTTTGGTTTACAATTTAATAGGTTTGGTTTGGTTTACAATTTCATAGGTTTGGTTTGGTTTACAATTTCATAGGTTTGGTTTTATAATTTCTAAATTTGGTCTTGTTACCATTTCCTAAATTTGGTTAGGTTAATAAATTCATAGGTTTAGTTGGTTTAGAAATTCCTAAATTTGGATTGGTTTAGAAATTACAAGGTTTAGGGAATATTCTTAAATTTCCCATATTTTATTTGGTTTCAGAATTTCTAAATTTGGTTTGGTTTTCAAATTCTTAAATTTGGTTTGGTTACTCAAGATGGTGGATACTAGCGCCGGGATGACAGAAACAGAATTTTACAGAAATGTTACAGCAGCGCTAGCCATGGCGGGGCTGTGTATTACTGTGGGTAAGTCTAACAAGATTGTACATTTGATTTTTTGCCTTCTTGTGAACAAATTCAGTTGAATTTTGCCATTCAGCTCTTGTTGGCAGACCTGTTGATTTCAATTAAGATTTCCATAAGCTTAATACAAAATGAAAAACAGGTGTACTCTCAAGTTTTGACTTGTTACAAAAAGTGAAGTAGAAAAGGGGGAATAGATAGGAATTGAAAACTATAAAATTACAAAAAGTGAAGTAGAAAAGGGGGAATATAAAGGAATTGAAAACTATAAAATTTCAAAAAGTGTCACATAAAAAGGGGAATAAATAGGAATTGAAAACTATAAAATTCCAAAAAGTGAAACATAATAGGGGGAAGAAATAGGAATTGAAAACTATAAAATTACATAAAGAGAAATATGGTAAGCATTCATTCTATAGTCTGTATCAGGAGTAATTGATTAGTTTCATTATTCAATACTTTATTTGAGCCCATACCACATTTTTGCTATAAACGTTTTAATCATATTTTTAAGATGAAACTTATGTTTTGAAGGTTTTGAAATGTTTATTTTGGGGAACATTGCAACCATGATAACTGATTTGCTATTCAATTTTAAGTGTAGGTCATTAAATGAAGTAATCCTTAGTTTTATTTTACATTATTGCACATCAAATGCATTATATAATCTTGTACTTTATACTTCAATTATAATTTTGTAAGAAAATTTTGAAAAATTATTAAACAAATGTTATTTTAGGTGCACTCTACCTTGTGGACTTTATTTTTGGCTGGGTTACAAGAAGTAGAGAAACAGACGAGTACAAGAACCCATAATCTAAACTCATAAATATTTATACACAATTCTGGACACACAGTGAGAATAGATTTTAAAAATAAATATTAAGAAAGTACAATTTCAAACCTGCAAAAGAATAATGTAAAAAAACATTAATCCAGTGAACAACTTGCTTTTTTAGACAAAATGTTATTCATAAACAAAGTGAAATGCCCTAAAACATGGATTTGAATAAAAACTTTGTTTTGACAAAGTTTGAATAAATAATATTATACTTATCTCTTTCATGTATTTACATTTTACAAGACTACAGTCTACTGCATTGCATCATGTTTGAAGCAATAAATACGATAAATGCCGCGTAAATTTAAGACAATATTCTGTGTTTATATTACAGGGAGTAAGATTTATAGAGTGATTTGTTTTCAACCAAATTTGTGCAGAAGAAGTTATTTTGTTTAATTATAAATTTTAATTCCAAAAATCCAATCCAATATGAAGACAATTTTTATAGACTATGTTATGATTTTAAAACAAAAGAAGTTGATTTTCCAGCAACATCAAATACACTGAAGATTACTTGAATGTCGTCTTCCAATTACTCAGTAATTTAAGGGTCTTACTTTCTGATAAATCAAAAATTATTTCCATGAATATACTTTATACATGGTTTAATCTATGTGCAGGTATAAATGTACGTCAGGGTCTAAATTGAGCATTAGATTTGAGTTAGAGTTTAGGCTTGACTTTAATAGCTTTTAAATCGTCTATTCGTCCAAACTATTAAAGGAAACATAAATTTTATGTTTTTGAAAATTTGTAATTTTTTTTGGTACTCCAATGGCCCAAAAGAAAATCCGCGAATCTTTTCTCTCAAAATCAAAAGTTCAGAAAAGCAAAAATGTGCATTCATATTATTTCTCTATAAATCTAAAATTTTATAAAGATTGAATCACGGAATCACAGAAAATTGGCAAAATTGTAATAAGAAAATTCGCAATTTTCAGTTCTGGGCTAATTTTTAAGGAAAAGTTATTTAAATTCTCTAGTTCCTTTCTTCTTAGTATATTCTAAAGTATTAAATATACGCTGTTCAGTAGAAATCCTTAAGAACCATTGAAAAACAATTTTTCCGTAAAAATTATACCAGAACTGAAAATTGTGAATTTTCTAATTACAATTTTGCAAATTTTCTGAGATTCTGTGATTCAATCTTTTAAAAATTTTAGATTTCGATAGAAACAATTTATTTACACATTTTTGTTTTTCTAAACTTTTGATTTTGAAAGAAACTCGCGGATTTTCTTTTGGGGCCATTGAAGTACCAAAAACAATACAAATTTTTAAAAAATATTTAAAAAACACTTTACAGAAGAGTTGCACAAAAAAAGTTACACTTTTGCACCAGGCGCCGCAAATCACACATTTTTTTTTAACTCACCCTGTATAGTCTATGTTACTTTTACTTATTCATTGAGTTAAATTTTTAATATATTTTTATATGTAAAATTTGATATTTTAGTGATAAACTTTGAATAAAGATTTCAGAATCGACCTTTTTCCAAAAACGCATCCCAATTTTTGTACAGTGAAACCTTAATAAAGAATACATCGAAAGAATTCATCAAATGTCGTATTCTTCACTTTCTGATAATGGAATGTTGCAGATATTTAGTTTTTTAATTAAATGATTATATGGAACTCTTTAAAACTGTTCCCGCATATTTATGGCTATTTATTTATTTTCGCAAACACTGAAATTTACGTAATATAGAATAAAACTCATTGAAAAATTGTCAAGACGACATTTGATAAATTCTTCCGATGTATTCGTTATTAAGGGTTTCACTGTATATGGGGCACAACTTAAAATTTGTCACATATGTTGTAATATTTATCATGCTTAATGTAGTTGAATAAAAAGTTAAATATGATGTGAGTGCCCAAATATGAACGATCAAAGGTAATTCCGTCATCCCTTTGCCTTACTCATGTGTCCTGCAAAACTAAAGTAACATGCAGGCAAGATTAAAATCTTTTATGTTTTCAATCATAACTCCTCCAGTAATTGAGTGAACGAAATTTTTTGAATTTTTGTATTATTTACAACTACTTTACAGGCAAGTTAAGAGAATTTTACTTTATCTAAGGTTCCCAAGACCAATTACAAAACAACCAGAGCGCAGTGAGGGATGTTTTTTAGACAAAATTGGTCGAGGGAACTTGAGGCTTAGTAAATTTTTAAGTTCCCGAAAAAGCCGTGTGGTGAAATGTCATTTTGTTGAGTTTAAAAGGGGCTCGTAAAGGGGACGACATCTATTGGAGAAAGGTTTCAAGACAAGATTTATGATCTACACTTTTTTAGTTTGAAATTAGATTCAACAGCTGAAATTTATATTGAACGATATCACAATATCTCAGTCATATATTTCAAAATTGATTCAAAGTCATTCATATCCTTCCGGCCAAATACAGATTAAGTGCAAACTGAAGTGCGGAATAAAAATTAATTCTATTTCAGAGATGACATTATTTGAAATATGACAGTTGGTAAATAGTTTTGAATGTCTTCTTCTATAATTAGTCAAGTTGTTTGATAACAGAGAGAATAACTAAAAACTATTATATGCAGTCAAATTATAGTAAAAATTGATTTTAATGTAAAATGTATTTATGTAAAATATTTGTTTAGCGAAATAAAATGAAAATAATCTTTAAAATCTAATACAGTACATGAAAGAAGAATAAAACCATTTACTTACTGTCATGTTTCGTGGGACATCCTGTAAAAGGTGCTAAATTTAAAAAATTGAGCAATATAAATTAATTATATTAAAGTTTTCATATTTTCAATCATTACAGTGGTTCCGGATAGTTTTGTTGTAAAAAAAGGAAATTAATGATCTACAAGATCATTACATGATTTGTCTGTAGGCCGATGATAGAATATTTTCAATAAAATCATCCTTCAATCATTTATTAAACCATTAGCCTTTAAACTCGTCATGATGGCCCGTGTCTATAGGGTGGGGGCCACTGCAAACTAAACAGAGGGAGATGGTCAAATCTAGGCGACATTACTGAAACCACTTTGTGACCTCGTAGCTTCACTAGTTTTCATGTCACTCAGATGTTTGATCTCTTTGATCTACCCGGTTACATATTAAAAATTAAAAATATTTTTCTTCTTTTTATTACAACAAGAGGAGTCATGATTAAATATTCAAATGAAAACTACAATAATGGGAGGGATATGAGTGGAAGAGGTAGGGATTGGATTAGGAGAGTAGGGATGGAAAGATTTTTTAAAAGTCGTCTTCTTATACAGATGTCGTCTTTCTACTGTATCAAGGTTGTAAATTAAACATGACAGTCGTACATTATAGTAAAACAAAATTGTCTTGGCTATTTATATGTATTCATAAATTTATGAACATATTAGAAAGGGATATTTAAGTATAGGGGATCTCGGGGATACAGGGGCCAAAAAGAAAACAATACATAGAACGAAACAGCTAGCTTGGATAAGGTGCAAGGGGATACAGGGAATAGAGGATACAGAGGTTACAAGGATAGATAGAATGTTTTAAAGATACACAGGATACCGGCAGTGCAGGGGGATACAAGGGGATACAGAGAGCACACCTGTTAGAATCTAAGAATCTGAGTATCTGACCTAGAATACTACTGATGATTATAGGATTCACAAATCTCACACATAAAGGTACAAGTTACATTAAACATCAAATCATGTAAAAACACATCAAACCACGTAAACTTGTATTTTTTTACTTTGGTAATTTTTATGCAATTTTAAGCAGAAAACGTTACGAAAGTTGTGATTTTTTTAAACACTGCCGGTTGTTTTCATTTTATTTTCTGTAATTATTTACTTGTTTCTATCAATGGCAATATATTTGATATACCAAGAACAAACTAATTGAAGGTAGAAAGAAAGGGAAACCGTCAGAATATTACATCTAACAAGTTTAAATTCTAATCCTTTGTCGCTGTCGGCTTTAATTCATTTGTTTCCTGAACATTTCCCATTTCTTTTGTTTTAAAAAACTGATTTTTTTCCTCCTCAAAATTATTGTTATTTTCATCTATTTTGTATGTATTTTATTTAATAAGATTGTTTTTTGGTATGCAACAATTTTCATTGAATCCCCCTACTCAAAAATATTTTCATTTAATTAAAATAAGAAAGTTTCCGTTGAATTAATTCCGCCAGGTTTTCAAAGGTTTTACAACTCTTCTCTCAACAAACAAAAATTGATCCAATTCTAGGCAACATTATTAAACTTTCCCATCCCTGCTTTTTCTCTTTTAAACACTATAAATATATTTTAAATAACATTTTCTATTAGATATCTTTTAATCTTTCCTCTCACATACATTTACTAAAATATTTATTGTTTCAGGACTTATTACAGCTAGTACACAATTTACAGATTATGTTTCAGGACTTATTACAGCTAGTACACAATTTACAGAATATGTTTCAGGACTTATTGCAGCTAGTACACAATTTACAGATTATGTTTCAGGACTTATTACAGCAAGTACACAATTTACAGATTATGTTTCAGGACTTATTACAGCTAGTACACAATTTACAGATTATGTTTTAGGACTTATTACAGCTAGTACACAATTTACAGATTATGTTTCAGGACTTATTACAGCTAGTACACAATTTACAAATTATGTTTCAGGACTTATTACAGCTAGTACACAATTTACAGATTATGTTTCAGGACTTATTACAGTTAGTACACAATTTACAGATTTAGTTTCAGGACTTATTACAGCTAGTACACAATTTACAGATTTAGTTTGCAACTATAGGCACTAATTACTTGCTATAAAATATATATATATATATATATAACACCTTTAAAGGTTTTTTACCAAGTTCTCTTTTATTAAACAAGATGGATCAAGATGAATCAAATTGGTTCTTATGCAAAATTTGATAATTTACTCTTCTTCAAATGGTTAGTTCTCCCCCAACATTAAACAAAAACAGTCGCACCTCAGTATTGGCTTAGTCAAAAACCTTAGTTTTGTCAAAATTTTCGGAAAAGTCTTTTGTTCATCAAAAAATCCTATAAGAGTCCATGTCAATTGGTGAATAAAAAATGGAGTAAATCGTTAAATCGTAATAATGAACACCCTCAAACTAGGTTTGCTTCAGTTCTTCCGCCTACATATATTTGCATCAAACTGTTCAAGAAAGTATATATAAATATATATATATATATATATGGAGTGCACAGTGAACACCCACGCCTGGGGTTTGTGTAAGAAAGCATGCCCTAGTGTGCTCAAGAGTATGTGTGGTTAGAAATATACTCATCTTAGATAGTTCCTTGCTCAGTGTCAGTTCTACACCTTGCAGTTACAGGGATACGGGAGATACAGGGGATATTGGGAATAGAGGGGGTACAGGAGATACAGGGATACAAGGGATACAGGAGATACAGGATAAACAGGGGATACAGGCTATACAGGCTATACAGGAGATACAGAGGATACAGGGAATACAGGGGTACAGGGGATAAAAGGGATAAATGGGAAATTGGGGATATACGAGATTTAGGGGATACAGGGATACAACTACAAGTGATACAGGGTATACAGGGAATAGGAGGGATACAGGGAATACAGGGGATACAGGGGGATACAGGGAATAAAAGGGGATACAAGGATACAGGGATACAGGAATACAGGGCTACGGGGCTACGGGGATATGGGGATAGGGGATACGTGGATACGGGGATACAGGGATTTAGGAATAGAGGGATACATGAATAAAGGGGAAACCTACGGAATTTCATACTTAAGTAAGATCTGTGAAATAGTTGTTAAAATTAATTTAAAAAATCTAAAGATTAGAATTCTCTATTGCATTTTTCAAATTTCTAAATTTTCCTAATTTACGTTCAATCCATACCTTTCCTTTAATCCTAGGTTCTTTTTCTTTATTTTCTAATTTAAAATAATCATTTATTTTAAAAGGAGCATGTCCGATTCACAACTTTTAACATTTATCTGATCAATATGCAAAAGATATTGATGTTTAATTCTACCCCTAAAAAGTATTTAATTCTATTAAATCCTTCACTTTTCTAAAGGGAAAAATCAGTTATAAAGGGTACTGTTGTGATTCGAACATATCACTTTTTTTAAATGGAGTGTAACTCTAAATGTTATCTATAGTCCCTTTAAGAACTGTGATTTTCATCACCCTGCAAGCCTCCATGAAAAGTTTAGAAGTTAAAGAAGCTTAAGTAATTGTACGTGACTCCCTCCATTAAAGAAAGAAAAAACGAGGGGCATGCCCGTTTAACAACTGTACCATTAAACCCGCAATCAATAATTTGGAAAATAAATGTCGCTTGTATGTCTTGAAAAGTTTTGTCTAGCAAAAAATTAAAACTCAGTTGAAAATGAACAGTTTTCAAAAACAAAAACATGTAAATCTTATTTTAAGGGTACCGTTGTGCATCGGATGCCATTTTGTCAATACAGGTTCACTAGAAATTAAGTTTGCAGTCCCTTCAAGCCCCCCGCCCCCCTAATTAAATTCCTAGACTTCTGAATTTGCTAAAATTTCAGGATTATCTCAAAAAAACAAAATTCCAGACTTAGTGCGGACAAGATAAAGTTATAAACTGCTTTTACCCAGTGATTAGGGGGCCAGCCAGGTGTAGGCCTTGCATCCTAGCATCGGAGCCAACTGTGAGTGATTGATTGTGAAGTGATTAATCATTAAAGAAACATGGCAGTGGTAAGTTTAACTTTTTGTCGCAGATTATTTACTTTTTGTCACAGGCCCGTAACCAGGGGGGGGGTGCAAGGGTGCAGGTGCACCCCCCTTTCTTCTGACAGGGGGGTGCAATGACGAATTTGCACCCCATATAAAAGAAATTGTTTCTCATAATTTTCAAAAATCTAAAATCTTCATAATATCATGATGAGGCCGAGGGACAAGAAGCCTTGATTTTAAATAATTAATTTTTTCCTTAAAGGGAGTGTTCGCGAAAAATGAAAGGGGGTATGGACATAATGCGATAAAAAGCGCTTTTGATCGATACTAATCTTGCTTCTATCTGTTACGTCTATAAGGAGCAAATTGTTAAAGACGTCTCATACCGAATAACTTAGCTATATACAAATGTGGCGAAAGATACTCGATGACTATAGGTTGTAATATCTAAATGATTTGTTTGAAATTAAATTGATTTTTTACGGTCTAAGTAGTATGTTGCAATTTTCTTAATTTGTACGGCCGCTAAGTTATTCGGTATGAGACGTCTTTAACAATTTTCTCCTTATAGACGCAACAGATAGAAGTAAGATTAGTAGCGATCAAAAGCGCTTTTTTATCGCATTAAGCCTACACCCCCTTTCATTTTTCGCGAACACTCCCTTTAAGCTAAAGTACCATTCATTTATTTTTTATGTATATTGTATATGTAAACTGTAAAGTTTCAGAAACTAAAACGTAACCCTTAAAAGCTTAAATACACTTGTTAAAAAGGTTAGTCTTTATAGCTTACATTGACAATGTAATAAAGATAACCATATACCGTCGTAAAAACAAACCAAGCATTGCTTTAAAAAAAAAAAAAAAAAATTTCGCGCGCCTCCTTGCACCCCCCCCCCCCTGAAAAAATCCTGGTTACGTGCCTGCTTTTTGATAATTGTATTTTGAAATGTGTAACTCTAATCCAAAACGAACATCATACGTTATTCAGCAACTTTTTTTTTTCTTCATAAAAGTTTACAAAAAATGCATGTTAAAAAAGTTTTTTTTTATGAAAGTTTAGCAACAGTATGTTGTATGTTTCTGACAAGGACAAAAAGTATGATTTTTTCTATTGTAAATTTCCTTAAAAGTTATTTTTTTTGTAGAAAAAAGTATTCCTTTTTTTCTGACATTTTAATTATTTTAGTTTAATACGCCTAAATTATACTCTGATGCGCATCATTAACAGACAATTTTAGGGAAAATGTCAAATGCATACATTATTTATATTTGTAGTGTAATGATTTGAAAAAAAATTCTTTAAACTTTTTTAGTTAATTTTTTTTCCTTCGCCCCTCCTTCCTTTTCTCAAGCCCCTCCTGAATAAATATGGATGTTCCACATTAAAGAAAATTTGGATGAAACAAAAATTAATGAATTATGTTAATTGTTACAAGGAGAATTTTCATATTGTTTACCATCGGCTCGAATACATATAAATTTCACCTTGTCGGGTAACCCTTGTAAACGTGTACCACAAAACGTCATGATAAGGTAAATACTGCATTTATAGAGTGGCATGTCAAATTCACAAGAGTACCCCTTTAACCTCTATCTAAGGAACACCGAGGAAGAATACTACCTATTTCCTTCGTTGTCGTTGTAGCAAAAATCCGCAAGTCACTATGCCACAGAAATCTCAATCTTTTGTGTAAAAAATAAGGATATCTCACTAATCCTTGAATAAAAAATGTTGATGGATAAAGTAATTTCTTGAGTCTAAAAGTAGATCTTCCTATTCAAGAGTTGTCTGATGCTTATTGTACATTCCAAAGGAGTTGCATTTAAATTTTTTAATTGAAATTAAAATCATTACTTTTACAGGTTTCTAACCGACCAGCTGGTCACCCTCCTCCTGGAATGCCAGATTACGACGACCTCTGTGATGACCTGACCTACGATGAGTTAACCGATGGCATGTCAACTTGTAGCGGGTCGGTCAACGACCTGCTAGATCAGCTAGTCGAGGAAGATTTCAGGTCAGATTAATATTCTGAAAGTTATTGAGTTTTCGCCACAAACTCTAATTTTCTAATGCCTTCATCTATGCAACCCAATGTCGTAGACCTTTGATATTTCAAAATATGTATTCTTTTAGATCAAATAGTCTATATTCAAAATATCAAAAGTTTACAACATTGGGATGCAAAGATTTAGGGATTAGAAAATTTGGGTTTGTGTCAAAACTCAATTTCTTTGTGTTTCAAAGTTTTTTTTTCCATTTCTTCTGTGTATACTTCTGTATACTACTGTATACTGTATACTGTATACTGTATACTGTATACTGTATACTGTATACTGTATACTGTATACTGTATACTGTATACTGTATACTGTATACTACTGTATACTGTATACTACTGTATACTGTTTACTGTATGCTGTATACTACTGTATATCTCAAGCTAAAAAATTTAGGGGAATTTTCCGTTTTAAAATAAAAAAAGTTTTTTTGAAATTTTGATCATCATGAAACCTTTCTTGGTGCTTATATTATAAGTTCAACAAAAAAATAACTCAACTTATTCAAGTTTAACCGTTTTTACGCTAATTATACACAAATAGAGAACGTAAACGAAGAGTTCACATCAGATTTACCCAACCGACCAACCTATTAAACATTGAACATCACAGTATGTTTACGTATTGTGTTGTGTACATGTGGAATCGTCTGTTGTGAATCGGGCTTGCAGAATGGATTAAAATGGATAGGGTCACCCAAGTTTACGGCGGCGGTCCCTTAAAACTTCTGAATGTATTTTCTTAGAAAATATTTAAATATTATCTGCACCCCTCCTCCCCCCCTTCCCCCCACACTTCATTCATTTACTCAACTTCCCCCAGTAGTAGAGCTTCATAAATTATCCTAATCCGGGCTAAATTTTCTGCTTTCTGACTTTACAAGCGTTCAAGCAGTCTCCGGGATATAGGAATTTTGTATGTTTTGCATGGAAATTGGAATTGCATGATATCATATTAGACTGAAATACATATTTTAGACTTTTTACTGTTTAATTTGATCTATTAAAAATGACCCAAAACAGGTCAACTTTTCTAACAAAATTAAAGAAACATTGAATTTAGAGAATATTATGAATTGTTAGTTAACATGTTATGCTCTAGAGAATGTTTATAAAAGAATTTTTTCTTTCAAAAATATTTTCACAGATGTTTTTTATAGAGATTGTTTGGATGAAAGTGCTAGTATTCTGGACGATCTGTCTATCCCAGATGATACAGAAATGCCGGGGTATAAACTTTATTTTAGATACAGTGAGACCCGTAAAAATGTGGCATAAAAAACGACATTTATGTTTTTTTTTCTGTTGTTGTAAAAGCAAAAAAGTGTACAGTAGATTGAACATCAACTTATCAAGTGCGTCTGTGTAAACTTCACAATTACTGTGTTTGTTTGTTTGTTTAAATCATAAATCAAGTATTCCAATTCCACAGTTTATTGTATTGCCTTTAAATTTTACTTCGTGTGCTGAACATTTTTTGTTGCAAACCCAGTATTTTTAGCTCTGAAAATTGTGTACAATATTTCGGGACAAAAATGCGTTTAAGACACTTTCTTACATTACACAGTTATCATTTATGTACAATGGGAGCCAGAAAGCATTAAAAAATCGAATCGAATATTTTTTGTATTAAAAAATATCTGTAACTGTTTTTTTTTCTAAAATTGCAGCCTGAGTTTTAGGCTTATATTTAAAGTTAATGCGATTTCAGACAAAATTTTACTGGTTGTTCTTTACTGAAAGAAAGAACAAAGACAATAATCAGTCTACAGTTTTTTGGTTAACATTGTATTGTTTATTTTAACTCTCGACTTACAATATACAATACAATAATTATTAAAGGGACTGTTTTTTCAAGTGACCCTCTATGCAAAGATGACAAGATTCACAATGGTACCCTTGAAACCTAAATCTAATCAATGCTAAAGAAGAAATTGATGTTTTTCTAGAATTAAAGGAGTTTGATTTTAATAATTCCAACATGTTTTCCTGGAGTAGGAATGTACAATTAACTTTTGTAGAGAAACCACAAATAAAAATATAATGTTTCGAAAACATAACATCAATATCCAAGTCATACTTGATCAGACAAAGCTTTTAAGGGAAACGTTGTAAATCTGGCATTGTATTTGAATGGAGGGTCACTTGAAATTTCGCGTACAGTCTCTTTAAGACCAAGTTTCTTTTCCTTTCAGTTTGAAACCGTTCAGTATGAAGAAATTTATGATGAATAAGAATCTGAATGTGAATCCTCCAAGTACGGACAGAATAAATCCGCAAAAACCGGTTCATGGAGCACATGGCGCGCTGAAAAATGGCGCCGCGGAGATCAGCCATACCAAATATGGCGGAGGGGCAATACAAGAAATAAAACATGACCAGGGAACCAATAACACAATGAAAATATAAAAGCATGAAAAAAAAAAGAAAAATCCAAATTGACATACACATTTTAAAGTAATAATTGATATAATATTGAAAAAAATTCAAAATGTTAAAAAATCTAAAAAAAGTGCATCATCAATATATATTTGCAATTTTTTATAGTGTTTTAGCATTTGGTACCCGTTAGATATTATATATTTTTCTTCTAAGTTTCGAAATGTTGAGTAAAAATGTGAATGTATGGGGATAATTAGAAGATGAATGGGATGGAATGGAGATATTCAAATATGGACATATGTAATTCAGGAGATTTACAACAGAATAGGAGGGGGTAAGGTGGATTAGCTGGAAAGGAGAGGAGTGGATATGGGAGGGTGGGGGGCGGGTCTAGGGAAAAAAGAAAACATAATGAGAAATATGAATCGTGGTTTTGAGATTGAACTTTAGGGTGGCAAGGCTTGTAGGATTCAGTGGTTTAAGTTATTACTCGAATTTTAAATATAAAGTGAAAAAGAGGCATATTTAATTCTTAAGGACTTGGGATTATTATCGTCAAGGGGGGGGGGGGGGGGTAAGGGAGATGGGGTAGATGCAATTTTTTAAGTTTAACGGGTATGGTTGATAATGAAAATAGTTTTAAATTTTTCAAACTGGTTCTATAAAAGGGTCCTGGAACTGGTGATTTCGTCAAAATGTCCGAGAATTCTCAATCTAAAAATATCGTCGGAGAATTTATGCGAGTTCGAGAAGAGAAGTTCAGGTTTGTTTTCATAATACCGTATGGCCCATTAACATGTGGAAAATGAAGACGACATTTAAACATTTTTATGTTCATTTTGTTAAAATGGAAAGTGTGAACAAATGAACGATCATGCTATGTTTCTTGTTCATTGAACTTTTTAAAATCATAATTTGAGTTTAACAATTTTTAAGGGTTCCGCTAAATAAAAAAATATGTTAATATAAATATTAAAATTTTTTTCAGTTCTCTGAGTGGAAAAAATAGCGTTATTCAAGGAAAGTGTGCAAAGTTTTAAATCTAAATTACATGTCATTTATTGCATTGTCATCTGCAAAAACATTCTGCTTAAAGGGACTGTACGCCTATTTTTAAGTGACTCTCCATGTAAAGATGGAAATCCCGATTCACAACTGTTTATTTGCTATTCATTTGCGGTTTCCCTGCAAAAGTGACTGGCGCATTTCTTGCTTTTAAGAAGTAGTGGAGAAACTATCAGAATTAAAAAACTTTTAACGTATAACGACGGTTTCTTCCACATTGTTATTAGATAAAGGTTTCTATAGGGTACCGTTGTAAATCGGGCATTGTCATTTTGTCCAATTGAAATTACGCTTACAGCCCCTTTAAAAGTGCATATAAAGTACCCCAGTTTTTATTTTTGGATTAGAAACACAAATAAGCCAATTCAACTTTTAAATGATCTCATTGCAGGATTAGAATAATTAATATTTCCTATTGGAAGAGCTTCTTGTGAATTTTGTGGATTCTATGATAGAGCCAAATATTCAATTCAAAATATTTATACTTTAATTACACAATAAATTAAAAATAAGTCAAAATATTAAACATAACTGTTAATATTAACATATTTGTCTTAACATATCTGTATGAGCATACCTGTCAACATATCTGTCTTAACAAATCTGTCCTAACATATCTGTATTAACATATCTGCCAACATATCTGCATATAAAGGAGGAAAAACTAATTCTACCTCCAACTTTGACGTAGCTGTTACTTCATTTACACAGCCAAACAATCAGCAACAACTGAACCAACAGCAACAGCTGTATAACCAACAGCTGCTGAAGAAGCAACAATTATTTCTACAGCAACAGGAGCAGTTAAATAATATTCATCGGCAACAGCAAGAGCAGAAACAGCAATTTACCAATGCCGGAAACAGTTCCAATAACGGTAGCATAAATTCTGCCTATCTTGTACAAAAAGCTAGTAATAATGGAATAGTAAATTCAGGCAATATTGAAAGCCCAATTACACCAAATAGAAATTCAAGTGTACCTAACAGAAATTCAAGTGTGTCCAATGAAAATTCAAGCATTTCCAATGGAAATTCAAGCCTTTCCAACGGAAATTCAAGTTTATCCAACGGAAATTCCAGTTATACGGATAGATATCCGCGAAATTCTTCTGGAGGAAATAGTTCACAGTACACTAAACTTAATGGAGATAGATCTTCAGGTTAGTAAATTTAACTTCTAAATTTTGAACAAATGTAAAAAGTAAATGATATGCATTTTAGAAAAAAAAGCTTTTAGATAAAAACAAATTTTTACATAATTTGCATGTAAATCAGCTAATTATTATGCAATTTTAAATATGCAAAAGTTTTTTCAAAGACTTGAGGTGTATTCTTAAGAAAGCTTAAAACAGGCATATTTACTTTGAAGACGTATCTCTGCAAAAAAGTGTGAACGTTTTGCAGAATGCTTACAATGTGCTTTCTATATGTTATTCACAAAAGATGAGACTTCAGCAAAGACTGTATAGATAGCATTAATATTTTCAAAATGCATGGATCTCTTTTTTTACCAAATCAGTTAGTTTAAAAACTTTATTCGAGGCAGAAAAATATGCTTTATAATATTTGAAGAGTTTAAGGTCGTTTGTATAGTCTCATCCATTATAAGCAACCTTTATACCAAATAGATTATCAAGTACAATAGGTGGCAACAGAGGAATGGACCAATTATACACGACGTCACAAGTGTCAAATATAACAAGATTAAATAAAAAAGTGTAAAAACTGAAAATAAAGAACACATAAGAGTGCACTTATTTTACTGTAAGATAAGCAATATTTTAAAATTATCACTATATTAATAATTTTGTCGAACACAAAAACTGAATTGACACTTGTGACGTCAGAATACAGCTGTACCGAAAATGTACAAATTCTACGTTGCCATCTATTGTATTAATTGATTGGTTGATTGATTGACTGTTTAGTAAACTGTACGGACACTGCTGTGTACTCAAGCAACCCCAGTTCGGCCAGGAGTAGCGTGGAGAGTTTTATCAATAATAAACCTGCATCTGAATATACAGGTGAATACACGGAACCCAGAAACCTGTGGAATAGAAACAAAAGACATAAGCAATCTTAGAAATTTTAGTAATTGCAGAAATCAACTATTTAATTCCCAAAATCAACGAGTCATTTACCGAAATCAACTATAATGTAGATATGTAGACCTGAATGTAGATATGTAGACCAGAATGTAGATATGTAGATCTGAATGTAGATATGTAGACCTGAATGTAGATATGTAGACCTGAATGTATATATGTAGACCTGAATATAGATATGTAGACCTGAATATAGATATGTAGACCTGAATGTAGATATGTAGACCTGAATATAGATATGTAGACCTGAATGTAGATATATAGACCTGAATGTAGATATATAGACCTGAATGTAGGTATGTAGACCTGAATATAGATATGTAGACCTGAATGTAGATATGTAGACCTAAATGTAGATATTTAAACCTCAATGTAGATATGTAGACCTGAATGTAGATATGTAAACCTGAATGTACCTGAATGTAGATATGTAGACCTGAATGTAGATATGTAGACCTGAATGTAGATATGTAGACCTCAATGTAGATATGTAGACCTGAAAAGAATCCAGCTATACTGTGCATTCTATGATTTAGGTTAAATAAATAATACATAAAATTCCTATTCTAATGGACCTTTCAGTTGAAGAGTGAATATTTTCAGTAAATGTTTAGCTGGGGAAAGGGTTGGGGAATTAATTCTGTTTCCCCCTTCAAGGGGTTGGGGTTTAATGTGTTTCCCCCTTGCATTTAACAGAGAGTCTCGACAGTATAAATTTGAAATTGATTTATACCTTTGTAATATAACCAATAAGATATATGTACTATAAATAGGGTTTTCGTTCATGCGGCCGACGAGTTTTAACTTTTTTAGTCGAGTACTTAAACACCGATTGTTTTCTGTTCCCACATTCAGTCTAAAAATGATTTTATTTTAAAATCCCCGCTTAGGCTGAGCGGGAAGGGGTGCATACAGGGGGTGGGGTGGCGAAGAGGATCCGCCATCCCTTGGATAAATGTTTATCATGGTCCCAAGGGGCATTAAGCCCGTGGAAAGTAAAACAGGTGAAGCCCCCCCCCCCCAGCCTAAGGGGCATGAACCACCCCCCAGAAAGTAAAAAGAGGTAAAGCCCCCTGGAAAGTTAAAAAGTTAAATTCCTCTAAACGTCCATCCCTGCTAGTGCATTGGATTCTGATTTATTATTGTAATTCCCAACCCCTACCCAACCCTTCACAAACCCCCTTATACGGTATATCATGTCATAAACTAATTTATTTTTCATTGACCCCCCTCCCCTTATTCCTCCACCCCCTAATTCACCCCTTTTTCCCCCTTTCCTCCTTCATACCACTTTCTATTATCTATTCTGTTCTTGAATCAGTTTTCAAACATTTGTTCATGAAACCTTAAATCGTAAAATATTAAGTTATTCTGAGAGATAAGTCACATATTGTTAATTTGATACTCAACTATCTGTATAGTCCGTATTCTGAGAGATAAGTCACATATTGTTAATTTGATACTCAACTATCTGTATAGTCCGTATTCTGAGAGATAAGTCACATATTGTTAATTTGATACTCAACTATCTGTATAGTCCGTATTCTGAGAGATAAGTCACATATTGTTAATTTGATACTCAACTATCTGTATAGTCCGTATTCTGAGAGATAAGTCACATATTGTTAATTTGATACTCAACTATCTGTATAGTCCGTATTCTGAGAGATAAGTCACATATTGTTAATTTGATACTCAACTATCTGTATAGTCCGTATTCTGAGAGATAAGTCACATATTGTTAATTTGATACTCAACTATCTGTATAGTCCGTATTCTGAGAGATAAGTCACATATTGTTAATTTGATACTCAACTATCTGTATAGTCCGTATTCTGAGAGATAAGTCACATATTGTTAATTTGATACTCAACTATCTGTATAGTCCGTATTCTGAGAGATAAGTCACATATTGTTAATTTGATACTCAACTATCTGTATAGTCCGTATTCTGAGAGATAAGTCACATATTGTTAATTTGATACTCAACTATCTGTATAGTCCGTATTCTGAGAGATAAGTCACATATTGTTAATTTGATACTCAACTATCTGTATAGTCCGTATTCTGAGAGATAAGTCACATATTGTTAATTTGATACTCAACTATCTGTATAGTCCGTATTCTGAGAGATAAGTCACATATTGTTAATTTGATACTCAACTATCTGTATAGTCCGTATTCTGAGAGATAAGTCACATATTGTTAATTTGATACTCAACTATCTGTATAGTCCGTATTCTGAGAGATAAGTCACATATTGTTAATTTGATACTCAACTATCTGTATAGTCCGTATTCTGAGAGATAAGTCACATATTGTTAATTTGATACTCAACTNATTGGGGGGAAGGAGATGGATGTGTAAGGAGGAAGGGGGAAGGAGATGGATGTGTAACGGGGAATAGGGAAGAAGATGGATGTGTAAGGGGGAAGGGGGAAGGTATATCTGTTGTTTCATCTGTATTTGAGCTCATTTCATCTTGTTTTTCTTTTCTTGTTGACAAATGAATTGTCAGACTTAGGGTCTCTAGATCTTTTTATCAGAATTGTAAAATAGGTAGATAAAAAGGTAGAGAAATAGGCAGAGAATTAGGTAGATAAATAGGTAGATAAATAGGTAGATAAATAAACATATATGATTTAAGTATCTCTACCTATTGGATTTACACCCAACAGATATACATCGAACACACCGACATACAGACACCCAACAGACCTGCATACAGACACACAACAGACATAAATACATGTACCAAGTACCTAACGAACATACACTTCGGTCACTCAACGGACATACGGTCAGCCAAGATACAGACATACATATACACCAAACATAAAGCCAGACATAAAGCCATCAAACGGACACCCAGTCGCCCAGCGTAGAAGAAAGAAAGTATGGAGAAATTGAATAGCAAAATGCTTCTGTTTATTTGTTTTAAAATCTCATGAATGAATTTATTTATTCTATCTTTTTTATTCCAGCGTAGTTATGCGACGAAAAAAAACTTGCTTTTAAAAACAAAACAATTTAAAACACGAATAATTTCGAAGAACATTAGACAAATAATCTCTACCTTAAGATACAATGGAAAATCACTAGTTTTAAAACAAACAGAAAATAAATATTTAAATCATTTACTTTTGTAGAAAAAGATTTTGAGCTTAAATCGGTCTTGCCATTCTATATTATTAATATGTTGGTATGCATTGCAAAATTTAAAAGAAAACTAATTCAAGAAAAAGGTGCGCAAAGCGCCAACAAAAATGTAGTTCACTAAAATGTAGATGCTAGGACAGAGAGGATATTATTTTAAAAGCTCCAAGGGGGAAGATTAAGGGATATTAGGGTGGAGGGATATTTTATTCCACAAATATATTTATATATATAGACAGGATAAGCTTATAGAACAGGTGGGAGGGGGGAAATATATTTTATGAGTGAAGTTCAAGTTATTTTAGGAATTTTATGTATTTTTAGATGGTCCGGAATTCCGTTTATATATTTTCTTTTTTCAGGTTGAAAACATTAAAAGTTTAAAATAATTCCAGACTGTTTATATGTCGTCTTCATGGACAATGTCGTCTTAGTTTCAAAGAATTTTTCTATATAGTATTTCTTTATTTCTACTATATTAATAATCTTCAAAAACGTTTAAAAAGTGCAGTAGTATGCGATTATACCAATACAATTAAGACGACTTTTTTGTTTAAATTTAATTGTTTGCACGCTTTTTTCGAGTTTACAATTAAGTTTACAAGTAATCTAAGAAAAGCCTTTTAAATGTTCTCTTTGTTTCCATGTGTGTGTGTATCCATGCTGTTTGCATGTTTGATATATGAATCAAAATTGAAATCGAAATTCGTTTTAACTGTAATTAATATAATCGCCCACCACTGTGCAAAAATTAGGATGAGACCTGATACTTTTAAACTTGACAATCTAAAGGTTTGACTTGAATATTTAGTTCTTTAGGTCTGACTTCATCATTTGATAAGAAAGCTTACATTTGTAAAATCTTAATATTTCAATCTTGTCTTTCAGATATTTCAATCTATTCTTCTTGATATTCAAATCTATTTCTCCGTCTACAGGATACCCACAAAGAATAAGACTGTAAGGACGACCAAAAATTCTAAAAATCTGACAATTTATACCTAGATTTTTGGCTTCTGAATTCAATAGAGTATTTTAATGGTTTACTAAATGATCAATCACATAGACAAGCTAGTGTTGGCCTACAAGGAACCCTGTATGCAAGAAAACAGACTGTCCAAATTCCGAACAATTATCTCTGAAGTCTCATCCTTTGTGGGTAACCCTGTTTTTCTTGTAAATGACATTTTGAAAAAAATTCTGAGATCATTAATAACAGAAAATTGACTTCGGTGTTACAATTATTAACTAAATCTACTTGAACTCCCCTTGTTTCTTGTTTCATCATTTGTCTGCCATCAGCGATTCTTCATATTTCAGTTTCAAGTAGTAAAAAACTGTCCTCTTTATACATTTTAAAGCATCTTTTCTTCATTAATTGGGGGTGTAAAGGGACTGTATATGAAATTTTAATTGACCCGTCATCTAAAGAGTAGCAGGTCTGATTTACAACGCGTATCTTTAAACCTTTGTCTGATCAAAGGTAAATTATGTATCCATGTTTTTCTAGCTGAAAAATGTGTTATATTGTGGTTTCTTTAACAAAGTACTTGTTCAAATGGCACCGTTGTGAATTAGAAATGCCTGTCTAAGATTGAAATTATGTCTACAGTCATATCTCTAGAACTATTTTATAACTCAATTATTCTATTATATCTCTAAAACTCTTTTATATATCTATTACTATATTATATCCGTATTACTATATTATATCCTCTATTACTCTATTATATCTCTATTACTCTATTATATCTCTATAACTC